AAAAACTTTTTCGTTCGATTTTAGCATTACGCTATTGTAAAACTATATTTGATCTATGTAATTCTCTTGGTGGGCCAATTTCTGTACGAATTCTGAATCGAATTAAAAAAGTTCGTTTGTAATTTTGCTAAAGTACAGAGAATGAGCTCAATACTTTCGATTCGCATATTTTACTTTCAATTGCCAAATAGAGCTGCTTTCTGTCTGAATTGCGCTCGTCTTTCTGCCTTCTCTTCCTCTTCTCGCTTTCGTTCCTCCTGTTCCATGCGGATCTCATCTTCGAACTTGCTCGCCTTCCGTAGTTGCTCGATCTGTGAAAACGGTAATTGATGCATCAGGAAATGTTAATTAACACGGATACGCTTTCGTGAATCTTGAATTTGTCATGGCTATGATTTGTTATATCATTGTTTTCCAGATTTGAAATTTTATTGATAATATATACACAAACGAAAAAAATTAAGTTTAATAATCGACTTTCAATAATAATTTTATGATGAAACAATGCGAAATATTTATAGTTTGATTATATATTGTAGAAAGAGAGAGAAAAGTTTTCGTTAACTTTTTCGTTGAATAAATATAATTATAAGAAATATTAATTAATTAAACAAACAATGATAATTCAATGAAAAAAATAAATAGTTAAGTTAATCATTTTTGTAATCATGAAATCATCAATCTATGTAAAAATATTATAATATATATATATATTTAAATAAATATATTTAAATATATATTTAAGTAAAATGACTTGCTGACTCAAAGTATTAAATTATTTATTATTTTTTTCCTCTCTACTAATTAATAACTAATTTGTATTGGAATCTGCAACTTTGAATCCATAAAGTATAACTGGATCATTTACTGATAACTCTCATGAATATTAAATTTTAAGTTTTAGAAAAATAATACGATTTTATGGTATAATTTCAGACAATTCAATAATTAAAACATAAGAAATTATTCATACTTTAGCTTCAAAGAAATGTTTAGCTCCTGTTACTCCTACTTCATCCACATCGACTTCTGTAAGACGTGCAAGCTGGCCCAATCCAGAATCTTGTTCTAATTCACCAGCTCGTGCTTTACGATAGATCAATAGAAACTGTAACAAGTTATAAATAATATGTTTATATTTAACTATTAGAAGAGAAGAAATTTTTTTACAAAATCTTGTTTTGAATCTCTAATTTTTAAAATCTGAAAAAATTATTTAAAAAGAAGATTTCTCAAATAGATTATATTCAAAGTTTTTCTATGTTGATAAAAATTTCTACATTATCCTGGATATTATCAAATCATTGCATAAATATTTCATTTATTTCGAATCGATTTACCGATTAAATAAAAATAATACATCGATACAAAATATCATTCTCTTTTCACATTAAATTAAGACACGAATCTTATTTTTTAATTTCTCGATCTATTAAATTTAATTTTCATATAATAAAAAAATATATGTAATAAAATACTATATTACTACATATAATTATTTCATTAAAAACTTATCATCATTATCCACAACGTATATTTCAAAAACAAAAATAAAATTATTATCATTATTCGGCCGGAAACGTTTAGCAGCCGCTGTTATTTCGATATAAAACTGTGCGAGATCTGCATCGAGGAAGCGATGAGTAAGGAACGGAAGGTGGAACATTGGTCAGCACGGTCGAGTTCAGTGACGCGGAGTGATTCACGATGATCTATGAAACGGGCGGCGATCGCGTGTATGGAGATCGAACGCTTTGTTCGCGGGCCATGAAAAGTCACGTAGGAACGTCCAGGTATGCATTTGCATCGAAGACTTTTCTTCTTGGCGTACATGCGTGTCTTTCGCACTTACCACTTTATTCTCCTCTATGTGCGACGAACATCGACACATCGATTTTCTTAGCGAAAGTTTTCTTTAATAGCATGCAAAATACACTTCGCACGCTCCCGATTTTTCAACAGGTGTTGCGACATTCGATGTAGCGCGATACAATGGGATACGCTAATCAGGGAAAATATTCGAACGCTTTCTTTAAATAATATCGTTAAAACAATAGAAACATGCATATCAGATTTGAATGCGTATTTCTAAAAAATTTTAAATTCTAATTATTTTAAAATACGAATATTGAATATTAATCTTTATCTTTCAAATAAATTAAAATCACTCTTACAAGTTTAAAGATAAGTTTAAAAGTCTAAAGATAAATTCGAATTAGATAAAAATAAATTTATTAAACTAGAAATTCCTTTAAGCTATTTATATAAATTATTCCTTATCTAGAGTTTCGAAATTTCGACCTAACTTTTATTTGTGCACTTTTTTCAATATTAAAATTACCCACAACTCCACGAACATCCATGGACTATTTATCACGCGTATAATATTCATAGCATTCTGCCGTTAATCATATGTATTTAGCATACACTTCTTTTTTTACAAAGTTATTTCGGAAAAAAAGTTTACTTCAATGCATTTCACTGAAATAGAACGGTTTGACCCCCACAAATGTGCCAGGGCCACATATGGAGAACAAACACAGATCATGGTGAAAGAGCATCGCGTCGAGCACCCCATGGGGCGGCTCTATTTTTATGGAGTGTGTACATGGCACGTGCTGCCACGCGTTAAACTCGATGCTCGTCGAGAGGAATAAAAACGACATTGAAATCCACATTGGAAAGTAAAAAAACGTAAAGAATTCTATTAGGTAATTCCTTTTAAATTGGCCATCTTCGAATTTGAAGAAATCTAAAAATCAAAATTCTTCGCAAGGAAAAAAAATGAATATTTTTAATTTCGAAAGTTTCGAGATTTTAGTCTACTACTATGGAATACATATTTCGAATGATCTATCGAACGATAATGGTGAAACTAATTTGAAATAACGAAAGTATTCGTGAAAATAGTATACTACGTGATCAATTTCCGTAACGAATTGGTTACATAAATATGGAATTATTTCCGGCTTTTTTACGTATTATTATATTTCGTAATAGAGGAAGGAAAACTGGTTGAAACTGGTAGCTGCGCATTCAATGAGCTTCTCGAAAATGAACGGTAATCAAGATAAGAAATTATTGCAAACCTCACGGAAGGAAATACGTCCATCGCCATCCTCGTCTACTTCCTGTATCATCGCTTTCAAACCGAGATGGGTCTGCGGTGCTCCCAAAACCTCCATCATACGTTTCAGTTCGGATAAATCGAGAAATCCATCATGACCATCATCGAATCTGTGAATAATTAATTATGAATTATTTAAATGATGATTTTGATAAAGATTAATATAGAAATCGCAGAAAAAACTTAATTCTAGATTATTAAAATTTTCATTGCTTAGATGAAACATATATATATATTTTAATAAAACAATAATTAATATTTTTTACTCATGTATTTAAAGATTAAGAAAATTAAAAAAAAATTAGAAATTTATATAAGAAATTTTAGCTATCACTGCTAGCAGAAACTTTTAAAAATATAATAGGAAAGTTAAATTTGTACATGAAGTTTCCATATCCGTTGTCGAAGAGTTAACAAAGTAGTCAGAAGGAAGTATTGAATCACATCTGGACATGGCCCCCATGAGGGTCACTGATGACCACTCGTTTGAATGAATTAAATCATTATATCAATCAAAATCTCTTTACAAAAACGAAAAAAAAAGAAGATATGTTATATTTTTCAAATTTCACGAGTCTAAAAATTTTTCAACATTCTTTTCATAATATTATAAAACGAGTAAGCACTAAAATTTGCTATGCGAGGGTAAAAATATTCCAGAAACACAAATATGTATATCCTGTTGGCAAGTTTCTTTCACAAACTTCTCAACCAACGTCTGGCCGCATTTTTTTCGAGTATCTCCTCCTGAATGAATGCAAACGAAAGCGTTTGGCCCCCTTTAATCGAGCAACTCGTTACTTTAATTAGCGTGTAATGCAATTATATGGAGGAAGGGAGGACGTGAGAACGATCGACAATCGTTGGTGTGTACCGATCTCGAAATCGGGAATAAGAGAATGTCAACGGGTTAAAGAGTTCGTTGGAGGCCTGTCCGCGAGCCGGAAGCTCGTGAAATCGACTTTCCGTGTAAACGATCCCGATAACCAACTCGCGAATAGCTTTCCAAGGGAATTATATACGGCATGTTGCATGCGAAATCGACGAAGCACATCGCTCGATAACATCCGTGGAATTCAGTTTGATCTGATCCAGGTTTGAAAATTTTCATGGACTGGAAACATCGACTGGAAAAAGATATAGAACATTTTATGGTTCTTCTACGATTTATAATATGTTTTTATGCAAATTCGATGGTTGCATAATATAACGTATAACGTTTTATCAACAAAAATCAATATAATTTTTTTGAATTCTTCAATTTTTAATCTAATATAAAAAATTATAACATTTGGATTTTTTTTCAAGACACTTTAATATCAATAAATTTTTATATTTTCAAGAGTTTCGAATTAGGATTGAAACGAATCTTGAAACGAATCTTCTTCGTAAAATCGAGCGGAATATCGCTCGACTTCCTCCATCTCTAGTTTACAGATGTGATAACGGTTTTATCAGATAACCATTCGCGGTTAAATAATCACGTGTACTCCTTTTTTTTTTTAATCATCGCATAAGCATAATCAGGCCAAACGAAGGATAAAATCTCTGACACATATGATTGGAAAGGTTGTTAAACCGGTTCTAATTCTTCTGATCAATTGATATTGCAAAAAATAGTAATTTGATATACGTAAATTGTGTTGTATAATCATTATTATATCCATATTCGCGGATAAAATTCATCATGATTCATGATATCCGACTTATCTTGTTTTTTCCAAGATTTTTTAAATCACTGCGACTAATAAATATACATATATAGGCTCGGTAATTCTATGTGATTAACATACGTTTAATTTCCAGTCCGGATGATATGTAGGAAAAATAATTCTTAGCGGTTAACGATAATTCGAAATTTCAATATTCATGTACAGTATAAATTTGAAAAAAATTGAAATATTAAAATTAACAATTAAATATTAATAAAATTCTCAATAAAAATTTTCAATAAGTAAATGTAAAATCATAACAATTTTTCTTTGTTGTAATTTTTTCAAACATCTTAATTATTACATATTTTTGAATTATTTAATGATTTTTATATATTAACGATTAATTATTTTCTTATCATAAAGTTTGTTTTAATTTCCTTCAAACACATTGTATAAGTAAAACTTGATAGGTATAAACTTGAAGAAGCTCTTTTTGGCCGAAGTGGAGAGAAAGAATCGTCTGAAGGTCGAGGTTACACGTTTATAAGCACGGTCAAACAGCTCTGATCAATATGAGTGGGAGACGAGTATAGGTACATATATATATATATATATATCTGGTGAACTCGATCTATCTCTCCTTTTATACGTGATTCATTCGCGATTTCACAGCCAATTTGAATATTGAATTGATAAGCCTGTTTAATCCACGAATATCGATGTGAACGTCTCGTTTGAAAGACTTATAACAACGTTATGGTGAAATATAATCTTTCAATGATTCGACATTCGATTCACGTGATCAAACAAGCAAAATTATTCGAATGATAATAATGAATATTAATTTCAGTCTAATTAGTCAAGTTTTAATAAATAATAACATTTTTGGAATATTTTTTTTTAAATTTTTTATGCATAATAGTTTGTCAATTAAATTTTTCTACGAATTAATATTTATAAAATAATTATTAATATTTTTATGTAAGTATATTATCTATAAGTATATTATCACGTAACTTAATTTAAAACTTAAAACTTTATAATAGCATAATTTCTTTCTAAGTCTTCTATCATTCTCATTCAATTTATATTAATATATTCAAGCTAGTTATTATATTATTATTCAATTTATAAGAGAACAATATTTTGATAAATATAAAATATTAATTCGTAGATATTACTTGATAAAATAAAATTATATATCACGACTAATTAACATAATTAGAAGAAAACAATGATTTACTTTCAATTCAATATTATAAATTTCTCAAGCTAGATGCGAAACGATCTTCAACTTGTGACTTTTATTCCATGCTTGATCTTTCGATCCATTAAAATTTTATCTCTGTCCCTGACACTCCATTTATTACAGTTTCATCAAGAAATTTAAAAAAGAGGCAAAAAATAAATTCAATTTTTATGATATTACTGATATATCGATATTTTTCTTCTTTTTTTTTTTTAAAAAAAAATCATCATATGAACCATTTAAAATCAGGCCAGTTACTTTGTGACTATACACAGTAGCCAACTATTGTTATCGCAAAATCAATTCTTGCATTATTGGTCGTGCTCGATTCGTTCCTCGTAGTTTCCCAAGACTATCCCAGGGGGAACTGGGTCAAGGTGACTGTCGGTACTTTGCCTGATATGTTTCCTCTCACCCTTCTACTACCATTCTTTCCAAGATCGATGCAGAGATTCTTCTTTTGTATTCAGAAAGACGTCATCGTTGTTCTGCGGCTTTGCGCTGAAATATTACTTTTCAACTACTCGATTTCTTATCCACGATCACCAAATGTGCTGTTTTTTATCATCTATTAACCCTTTGGAAACAAATTTTTCTTTTAGTTTAAAATTTATTAATCAATTTCATTGATAGACTGTGGATGTTTATACATTCGCAATCTATTTATTAATTATTTATAAAATAATTTATAGTAAATTTGATGAGTAATTTTAAATGTAAATTTCATAGTAAAATTAAAATAAAATTTTAAATTTAGTAAAAATGGCTATAGCATAGACGAAGATTTTTATAAGTGATTTGTAAATACTAAAATTTCCTAAAAATTATTTTTTAAAAATTAGAAGAATCAAGATGTAAATTGCATGTTCAAATACAAGTGGAATAGAGACTTCTGAGATTCGATAATTCAAATCTCACAATTTGAACAGTTCAAAATCATAACCGGCATACAAAGTACGTAAGCAACGTATGCATCCAGCATGATGCATGATGAAGATTATGCGACCGAGAGTGTGACAAAAGAGGAACGGTATAAAGAAAAGTGCAATTGAGCATGACTGTTGAATAAGAATGAAAAAGTCGACGAAACGGTTTTATTGTGCACGATACTTAACACGATGGTCTCGTGCGTTAGAAATGCACTTGATTTTCGCTGACTCTAAGAAACACCCTTAAATCCGGCTGAAGGGTACAATAATGATCAACTGTTCAGGTACAAGTCTTTAGACTATATGAAGACAATAGCAACATTGAACAGCACCTCTAAATTAACACTAATACATAAATATATACCTAAATACATATTGTTACGAATTATCGAGTAACTAAGTCTTTGTTTCATTTTTTAAAGAATTTTTTAAATTTGCAATCGTCCTAATGCAATTGTACCAAAAGTTATTATAAAAATGGAATAAATTTTTTCTTAAAAAATTAAAGAAGCTAAAAAAGTAACAAAATGTAATGTAAACAACATAACGATCGATAAGATAGATATGATATGATAGATAGGAATATCGATCAATCTTCATCCCTCTAATAATAATCTCCTAATAATAATATTTACTTTGAGGAGAAAAAATTAGGTTAACACAATTCTATCCTTGATGCAAATATTGTTTCGCATAAAAGCTAACCATAAAAGTATTGAACCTGATCGATATGAAATATCTTCATGATCGTGTCGTCGAATAAATATCTAACACTGTTTATATATTCAGTACGCATGATTGTTGCGAATGATTTTGAAGTAACGGTTCTACCTTCGTTGTACAAGTTCTCCAAATTTAGAACCGCATTCCTTACGAACTTATGTTTTCTGATAACATTGAATCCCAATTTTTACGTGGTGGAAATTACCGATCGATTATACATTCTACGTGGAAAATGAAGAAAATACGATATATAGTTAAGACTTTCTCGATTTATAATAAATGAATTATATGAAAATTCTTCTCTCTGGATCGTTGCTCTCATGAATATTTTTCGGAAATAAAAATTTTGAGAATGACTATTCGAGAATAATTTTTGCTCTTAATATCCACTAATAAAAAATAACATTTGAAAGCAACTTTCCAGTTTTAATTTCATATTTTCAAAGATATTTCAATCATAAAATTGTAGCATGTCGATTTAATATCATAATTTAACCGAGTATCTCTGGTTAGGATGAAATGTCGAATACACCAAACCATCGAACCGCAAAAAA